TTTAAAGTTACCACATTATTGTTAAGTTATAAATGATATAACCAAAACATTAAAGAGGAGGCATATTTGCATAACATATAAACTGACCCTGATGAAATAATTATTTTGAAAGTGACATAATCTTTTGGATAAACAGTGAACCTATGTTTGTAGGAAAAGGAAAATAAAGCAAAATGAAAAAAGAAAAAAGAAAAACCAGCAACAACAAAAAAGTCAAAAGTAATAACTTTATTGTCATTTGGCACTTTAATTTTCCTAAGAAAAACAGCTGCATGGACATGCCATGCAAAGAACAGGAGTCTCCAAAGGACAATTAACACATCACCTCTTGACTTATGGACAGTCTTCAGGAAAACTTTAAATGGCCTCATAACCACATGCAAAGAATCTTATCTGCAGGAGACAGGCTGCCATCAAAACTAAGGTCACAGGACTACCCTGAGGAACTGCAGAGTGCTCGTGGAGGCTGCATCTGCTAGAGAGCTGATCTGAAACTACTACGGAGCAAAGGAAGCTACACGCGAGCTATTTAAAAAGCCAGCAGAAAGCATCTTCTCAGCAACGCTTAGTTACAGAGCGGTCAGCGAGTACCAACGCTATTTTCATCCTGAAAACATAAGCCAAACATTTTTCACTCAACTTAAAGAAAACAGTTTACTGTCCATTGGCTGTCTTACAATTTAAAGTTGGTTTTATGCTTTAAACAACATCCGCAGTTGGAGAGATGGCTCAGTGGTTAAGAGCCACTGGCTGCTCTTTGAGACGACCTGGGCTTGACTCCCAGCACCTACATAGCAGCTCACAGCTGTCTGTATCTCCAGCTCAGGTGACGCAACACCCTCACCCAGACATACATGTAGGCAATGTATATAACACCAATGTATATAAAGTAAATTTTTTTTTTTTGGTTTTTCGAGACAGGGTTTCTCTGTGGCTTTGGAGGCTGTCCTGGAACTCACTTGGTAGTCCAGGCTGGTCTCGAACTCACAGAGATCCACCTGCCTCTGCCTCCCGAGTGCTGGGATTAAAGGCGTGCGCCACCAACGCCCGGCTATAAAGTAAACTTTTTTAATTTGCCAAATCATACAGAAAATAGCACTCATGCATGCTGGCTCCCCTGAATAAAAGGCAATACACCTTTCTTTATAAGTCTAGGGAAATGAAAACAACTCCAAACTCCATCAAGGCAACTAACTGCTAGGCAAACTGCGGCTACTGCTCTTCCAACCCAATCAACCAGGACCCCATTCCCCAACCTGTAGATGAACACAAAAGTTCAAATGCTCTTTACATGGATGATGGTTACAACTTTAAGAAGAAATGCAAGTAATGGCCTTATGATTATTTGGTTTAATTTCTACTTTTCCCCACAGGGTAGGATGCACTCATTCTCATCCCTCTGCAATATGTCACTCTGAGCCAGGCAAGTCTGTGGAATATGGTAAAGCTAAAGCCACAACACAATCTTCAGCATCCGGGAGACACAGCCAACTAACACCCTTATTATTCACAAAGCATGATTCACCACCCTTAATTTTTAAGTCAGCACCACTCTCTAATCATCTTGCTAGGTGACAGACTCCAAACTGTTTGAAAATAATATGAACTGAACCCATTAAAATGACATTAGGTATTTCTCCTCTGTATCATTTCTATGGAGGAAATATTTGGTCATTATAAACACACAAAATATTAAAATTACAGATGACTCTATATCTCAAAAGCAAGGAGAATTTCAATGAAAATTAATAGACAGTCAATGATTCAACCGGAAAATGGTGTGGAAAACCCGAAGCAAGCGAATAGCTACCTCCCCTAGACCCATGAAGGCGGAACTATGCCACCAGATAGCATAAAGAAGCCTGCATGCGGTTCACTCATCCCTATTCAGGATCATGCTCTATCTTTAAACTTAAAAAAAAAATATTTACTTCTATTAGGGAAATATATGTATGTTTGCCAACATGTATGTATATGTGTACCACATGCATGCCTGGTGCCTACAGAGGTTAGAACAGAGTGTTGAATCCCATGAAACCGGAATTACAGACTGTCCATGTAGGTGCTGGGAATCAAACCCAGGTCCTCTATAAGACCAGTAAATGTTCTTTCTCTTCTTTTTTTTTTTTAAGTGATTTATTGTTATTTTATGTGCATTGGTGTTTTGTCTGCAGGTATGTCTGTGTGTGGGTTTCAGATTCTCTGGAATTGGAGTTGCAGACAGTTGTAAGCTTCCATGTGGGTGCTGGGAATTAAACCCAGGTCCTCTGTAAAAGCAGACAGTGTTCTTAACCATTGAGCCATCTCTCCAGCCTGTAAATGCTCTTTCTTTAGAGTAAGTTTCATATACAATTTCTCTACTGTTCTGACTATTTTGCTGAAGAAAGCTGAGTGGGCAGCTGAATTAATGAAACATACATGTGTTCATGACTACAGTTCAAGTTCACGACCAACTACCCTGATAACACCAGCAATGAAGCACCCTACTCATAGCCACAGAATAAGTAACTCCATGTCTCCTCTAGGGTAATTCATGCAGGTGATGGTTATCAAAGAAAATGCTAAACAAGACCATTCTGGTTGAGATTTATCTCTCAGAGGCACACTGTGTTTCTTATACACATGGTCCTTGGTTCTCAGTGGCTTTTTCTTAACCCCCATCAAATCAAATACTGATTAAATAATCTTGATGTATCTTAGCTGAGCTAATTTTTTTAAACAAAAGCATTTGGTCTCACATAGTGCCAATCTTTTGGATATAATTAAGTAAAATGGCACCCATATAAAATTAACCAACATTAGCTATAAAATAAAGGTCTAGGAAGAAAAGGAAAACTCTAGAATGTGACTAACTAAGCACATTCTGGATTGGCAAAAGCAGCCTCCAGGACTTACTAATAAAGATATTACTACATTTTGGTTGTAGCCTAGCGTCTCAACCAATAATGAGTCAGTGTCTGGCTCAGTAAAAAAAAAAAAAAAACACACTCTAAAAGAAAATCACAGCATTGTCTCCAATGTACTAACTACTTCATCAATAAAAAAAACAAACACATACACACACACAAAATCACTGTCAAGCACAGCACACTTAAAATGATGAAGAGTAAAAGGCACTTTGGTAGGGAGATAAAGAGAACATACATTCACTATCCATTATGTGCAAGGTCCCTTCCTTCAAAAGCACTAGCTGTCCCCATTTCACACATCAGGAAATGGAGTCCCTAAAAAGAAAAATAACTTGCCTGAGGATACAGTAAGCAAGTTATCAGAACCGGGTTTGTCTGATTTAACAGCTGCTGTATTCTACCCAAAGTCACTGCTGCCTACTCTAAGTACAAATTCTGCCCTAACATTCACCTCAGTTTTTAAAATACTAATTCCTAACCACGTTTGGAATGGAAATGTTTTATTAGAAGAAAATTCTAGAAGTGAAATTCTGACCTTTCATCTAAAAAGGTTACAGTAAAACCCCTTTGATGAGCGTCTGGGATCATTCCCATGACCGCTGAAAGTTTGGATTTCTAAGCACAATTGAAAATATTGACATGAACTAAAAACTAAAGCTAAATAGTTATTTTGATCCTTATCCTACGTTGCTGGACGACACAAACTGGAATCTCGTGAAAGAAGAGAGTGCAAAGCTGTGGGCAAGAAAACCATACACACCCCGGCTGTGAAAATAGGAAAGGATCGATTTCCACGTCAAACATTCTGTCATTCTGCTTATATTCTCATTTGTGAGCAGGCACCAGGCAGCAATCAGCCAACCCAAGGTGAAGTGTTCAAGTTCAAAACCTGGCCCTAGTTGTGAAAAGTAGATCTTTTTAATTAGGAGAGAAAAACAACAAAACAAAAACAAAATCACCTAGGGTCTGTCCTTACAAAAACGCATATAAATTGTTCTTGGGGGGAGGGGGAAACCTTGAATTTGAAAATGTCGACCTTCAGTAGTTTCTAAATTGTTTCTTGTTACTCTGAGAGTACAATTATTTACCTACAAGGCATAAGAGTTCAAAGAGTTCGCCAGAGTTACGGCTGGCCCGCGGGTCTGCACACATGTCAGTCCGCCACAGGACACCTGGTACATGATATACCGTATTAAAAGGAACACGGTACGTTCAAAGAGGTCATTAAACAGAACCAGTACAAATATGCCATCCTACATCCTGAACAGTGCGTTTTTCTTAAAAAAATAAATAAACCCTCGCTTCTTCCAATTTGAAGATGAAAATAGCCATGTCCGCCCACAAAACGTCCTCTTTAGCCAGTGTCCAAACCCTAAGTGGATAAAGGGTCAGGTAAATATAAACCGGGCCCATAATTCTTCTCCAGAAAAAAAACGATGAGGCGTTTCTGACGGCCCCACACGTGGGACAGCTTTAAGTTTTGAAGTGACTTCAACTCTGGCCCACACATCGGGTCTGTAAAAGGGTCCAATGCCCACGACTTACTAGCAAACCACAATACTGGCAGGAAGCCCCCTGCCTCCGAATACAAAGAAACCTTCTGACCAGGTAAGCAGAACCCAGCGGCTGGGTTAAAAAAACGCCGTACCGGATTCCCAGTTTCATTCGCCTCGCAAAGTCGCGTTTTTAAAAACTTTCGAGCAAGGATTCAAAACTCCAGTCACCACCCGCTTCTCCCGGTCCTTCCGCGGCCACCGGGCACCCACCTGTGGAGACGGCGGGGCAGGTGGGCAGCGCGCCCCGGGCCCGGGCCTTCGGGAGACAGCCCCGAGTCGCGCGCGTCCCGGGCCCTGGGGCCGCCGGCAGCCTCAGCCGCGCCGGCCCCGGGGGCGCCTCGGGAGGAGGACGCTTGCGTGTGGCCGGCCGCCGCGGCTTCCCACCGCCAAGCCTCCCGCTGTCGCCTCAGCCGAGGCGCCCGGCCTCCCGCCTCTGCCGCCACGGCCCGGCTCGGACACCAATCACGGCGGCCGCGCGACTCTTCTCCGGCCACAAGCCCGCCCGTCCCCGCGCTGCACTCCCCTGGTCACTCACCCCGGGGCTGGGCGGCGGTAGCAGCAGCGCCAGCAGGAGCAACAGCCATCGGGCCGGCATGGCGGGGACGCGGCCCTGGCTCCGGGCTCCGCAGGCCGGTTCTGGGCACGGAGTGGACAGAGGGCTGGGCGGGGGTGCCGCGCTGTCGTCGCGGCACCGGCGGAGGATCGGTGGACACGGAGCTGACTGGGCGGCGGCGACACCCCCATTCCCGGCCCTATAAGTGCCTTGTGCCGAGGCTTCTTCCGGTCGGGGCGGGCTAAAGGGCGGTTCAGGGGGCGGGGCCTGTAGAAGGTGGGGTCACTGTCTGGGTTGGGAGGAGCCTACGTTGGTTTGGGGCGTGGTGATCGCTAGAGGGCGGTGTTAAAACGAGACAGAGGCAGGGCTAGCTTCGGAAAGCCTTCTGTCCTTGGGCACTATAAGCTAGAGAATGAATTCTTGGCTTTCGGTATTTTGTGGGAGCTGTGCTTTCGGATAGATAAACTTGTCCTCAGGTCAAGGAAAATGGCATCTGCCACCCACCCCATCGGAGGCCCCAGTCGTCCGACGAAGGACCCGCGGCACCTGGCTTGGTTCGGAAAGAAGGGGCTGCCCAACAGCTCTCCATCTCCCTGCTGCCAGCAACCACCTACTAGGGTTGCCTAGGAGACCTCTGGAGCAAAGGTTTCAGCGGCTGGCGGGATTTCTGCCCTGAGCTGCCGCCTCTGAGTTCACTGGGCAGGGTCCTCCAGCTGTGCTTCGTCCAGTCCGAAGGCCCCTTCTTCACTTGCCTTCCCTCAGGAATTCCCCCAATTCACGTTCCGCAACCATCCATTCCCCTCGGTATAAACCACAGCCAAGCCAAAAATTATGAGAAGGAAATCATGTGATTCCATGTGCTTATGTGTTTACGTGACCTTTGTAGATGTGGCCCGGTGGAGCTTGAGATGACATGTCACAACTCTTCGGAGGGTGTGGGTGGGCTGAGGACTCCAAGGTCTATTTAAGAGTTGTGGGTTATTAATCAGAATTAATGAGCCCAACGAGTTGTTTGGTCACTGGGTCTCAAGCTGCCCTCCACTGAGCTGGAAGGGGGAGGGCAGAAGTTGTTTAGAATAGAAAAGACTAACAGAGCATGAGGAAAAAGTAGCTTACTTTTTAGTCTAGTAGAAAACGGGAGTTGCTGGGAGTGTACCTCAGTTGGTGGAGTGCTTGCACAGCATCTGTGAGGCACCGGGTTACTTCTCCAGCACTCTAAAAACTGGATGAGTTGGCCTGCACCTGTAATCCCAGCACTCTGGAGGTGGATTGGAAATTCAATGTAATCCTTGGCCGTATAGTGAGTTTGAGACCAGCCTGGGCTACATGGGGCCATGAAGGGAGGGAAGCAGGGACAAATTCTCTAATTTTTTTTCCCTATCTTGCTCCTTTGACAACCTTGAGGGAAAGTGTAATTCTAGAGGGAAAAGCAAACAAGTAGTGTATTAGTTGTGTATATGTGTGTGCGTGGCGTGGGTGGGGGACGGTGGGGTGGACTAAGTGTCCAGTCTGTGTGTGCTGTGGGTCAAGTCTATTCAACTATAACAGACAGAACTGTCCCTAGGAAAACCAAATCCTGGAGAGAGAGTTCCTATTCCCACCTCCACTCCCCACCTGGGGCAATTCCCACCATACTGCAGAACACAGCAGCACCAGCTTGGGAGGGACAAATCTTGGCAATTCTGAAAGCAGCAGACACAATTTGAAGTGTTACTCACAGGTCTCAAAGTAAATAAGTTTGGGATCACAGAGAGAGGTGGGGGACTAGAAGCTCCAACCCTCCTGAGCATGGTGGCCCACATAGCCGTGGAGCACCTAGAACCCTGAATTGGGGAGGAGCACTTCAGTGACGGATTACATGTCCAGACTGCAAGCATATGATGCAGGATCTGTAAGACCATATGCTTGTGTTCCCAAATAAAGGTGCTTGGAGCCAGTGAGATGGCTCATGCTCAGCTGATAAAAAAAAAAACTGCCTGGTGGACAAGCCTGACGATCTGAGTTCGATCCCCACAACTACTAGTGAAAGGAGACAAACCTCCTGGAGGTTTTCCTCTGGCTTCTGCATGCACACTGTGGCACATTGGAACCTACATACAGTAATAAACCTTAAGGTTTTTGGTTGGTTTTTTTTTTAAGCCGGGTGTTGGTGGTGCACACCCTTATTCCCAGCACTTGGGAGACAGAAACAGGAGGATTTCAGTGAGTTTGAGGCCAGCCTGGTCTACAAAGTGAGTTCTAGAACATCCAAGACTCCAGGACTGTTACACAGAGAAATCCTGTCTCAAAAAACCAAAGCTTGGTTGAAAAAACTGCTTTGGGGCTGGAGAAATGATGGTTTAGCAGTTAAACCTCTGCTTTTCCCAGAGGACTCAAGGCCAATTCCCATCAGGCGGCTCCACAGGTATCTGACACCCCTGGCCTCTGTGGGCATCTGCACTCATGTACACACAAACACACATGACACATATAAGCTTAAAATCCAAATCAAAAGACTGCTTTCATATTTCTCCTCCTGTGTATTTCCTCCAACATAATAAATTCAGGGGTGGAGCTGGGATGATGGAACAGAACTGATATGCCAGCATTTACGAGGGAGGTAAGAAGGTTAGGAGTTCCAGGTCAACTTCAGAAACAGCATAGTGAGTTTGAGGCCATCCTGGGCTACATGAAATGCTACCTCAAAATAGCAAGGGGGGGGGGAGGTCTCAGAGGGGAACTTGCTGTACTGGAACTCTTTGACAATTCAAAATGTCACAGTGACCCTGTAAGGTAGCAGATGGAGCTCAAAAAGGAAGAGTGACCTCAATCTGACTCATAAATCAGTTTTAAAGATTCCGAAACAAACAGAAACCATCCAAGGATCATGAGCCAGGGTAGGAATATTTATCTTGTATTGAGGTGAGGTGACCCAATCCCTGAGCTTTGATTGCCCTGTTACACACTCTCTGGAGACCTCTGTACCACTGGATTGTTCTTGGGCCTAACCAGCCCACATGCTTGTGCACTTCCTCATTTGACAGGCAATTCAGACTGTACTGGTCTTTTATTTATGGTCAAGCTGCCATAATCTCCCTCCAAAGTCACATGCAGCCTGAAACAACTTTTTACTTATGTTAAATCAGAAGCTGGCATCGATGATAAATACAAAAACTGAAATATTTTAGGGCTTCTCTGAAACAGATCTAACCATATGAAGTCCAGAAATTAGACAATCAACCATGTTTCTGGAGTCTTGTTAAGTAATTCCCATTTTAGAAGGTCAAGATGAGAAGGGTCAGCAGGCTATCAAGCCTGAACCAGAGGTCAATTCCCAGAAACCACATGGTGGGAAGAAAAAAACTGACTCCTAAAAGCTGTCCTCTCGATGGGCAGTGGTGGCACATGCCTTTAATCCCAGCACTCGGGAGGCAGAGGCAGACAGATCTCTGTGAGTTCAAGACCAGCCTGGTCTACAGAGTGAGTTCCAGGACAGCCTCCAAAGCCACAAAGAAACCCTGTCTCAGAAAAAAAAAGTTGTCCTCTCACTGTGGCATGCATGCCCACACAAGCACACACACACACACACACACACACACACACACACACACACACGCACTCATGCATGCCCACACAAGTACACACACACACTCATGCATGCCCACACAAGTACACACACACACACTCATGCATGCCCACACAAGTACACACACACACACATGCATGCCCACACAAGTACACACACACACACACACGCACTCATGCATGCCCACACAAGTACACACACACACATGCATGCCCACACAAGTACACACACACACACTCATGCATGCCCACACAAGTACACACACACACACTCATGCATGCCCACACAAGTACACACACACACATGCATGCCCACACAAGTACACACACACAAACTCATGCATGCCCACACAAGTACACACACACACACTCATGCATGCCCACACAAGTACACACACACACATGCATGCCCACACAAGTACACACACACACACCAACACACACTCATGCATGCCCACACAAGTACACCCACACACACACACACCAACACACACTCATGCATGCCCACACAAGTACACACACACACACCAAATGCACACACTAGATTCAACAAAGATTGACAGATGGCTTAAATATGTCTGGGCAGGTAAGAGGAAGTGAATTAACCAAATATTTTTCTTGGAGAGCTTCTAAAAAAACCTATTTCTAAAACACCTTTTGTGCTTCCTTCCTTACTGATTCAGCATATGTAGGGTAGAGCCTAGAAATCTGTGTATCTTACACTTCCCATAGGCAGCAGAGAGATCCAGCCACTCACTACAGATAGCTTGTGTTTTAGCACTGGCAATGAATTCTCAGTGTTTATTTTAGCAAATGCCGCCCTCTAGTGGAAGACGTTATAACATAGACTTGGAGGGATTTTTGGTTTGTTTTGCTTTTGGATTTTTTGGTGTGGCTTTTTTGTTTTTGTTTTGTTTTTTGTTTTTGAGATACGGTTTCTCTGTGTAGTCCTGCCTGTCCTGGAACTAGCTCTGCAAACCAGGCTGGCTTCAAACTCACAGAGATCTATCTGCCTCTGCCTCCAGAGTGCTGAGATTAAAGGTGTGTGCCCAAATCAATTTAAAGTGACCTCCAAGCTGTTGTTGAGACAGACTTGAATTTACAGTACTTGTGGGGTAGCAATGGATTAAATAAAATGATGTAGCAAGCAAAAAAAATTGTCTCCTTCCTATTGTGAGGTTTAAAGAAAATAAAAAACCGCTGTTGCTGGGTATGGCTTGGTCTGGTGGCTCTTCTTGCAAGATAACAGGATTGAAAAAGGCTGTGACTCTTGTTCTGAGCACTATTTTATTTTGGCTGAGCTATCCCTCCAGCCCGTAGGCACTGTTACTTACCACAAGATGCTATCCAGTATCCAGTACTGCCACGACTGTTTGTACTTTCTTAGACTGCAAACGCTTGCTCACTCCTGCTCAACCCTTCCCACTTTCTCAGCCCACCCCTTTCTTCTGTGTTGGGGATCAACCCCTAGAGTATCCAGGCAAATTTCCAGGCCACAAAAGTGCCATGTCCCATCAATGTTGCTACTGCTTTCTGTTTGCCTTCATTTGGGAATGTGCAAACACCTGCCTTCAGGGTCATCTTGTGCAACAGTTCTATCAGTTAGGTATTAATTAGGCACATTTTATTGAGGATACAGAAGTCTGGGCATGGTGGTACATGCCT